TGATACTCACTGTTCTAATAAGCTAAAATGTCCATTCGATTTACTCTTTTTCTGTCACCGGTGCTCCCAGAAACGTAAACATAACTATTCGGATTAAGATAACTATTATTTGCTAACTAATTACTATATTACTTAATATTAATGGAAGTGATACCCTTTTTTAATTTCTTAGATTAAAATTTTTTTTTGAGCCTTGCACAAAAATCAATCTTTTTGAAATCAATAACATATATTTGGAGATATGACTTTTAACAACCTTACGGTAGGATGATAAATGCTCATAACAAGTATAGATAAATTTTGTTTCATCCACTAATCCAGTTTACATAGAAATTTTAACAGCATAATGGTGTGATGATATCATTCCTAGGAAAATGAATGCTTTGTTGTCGAGTATGTTATATATCCTCCATTTTGATCAGAACTTCATTAAAAGTGTTATATCACAGTATAATAGCCTTGTTTCATCTGCCGATGCGAAACCAAAAGAATTTATATATATTAAAACTACTAAATTGATTATAGTTTGTTAGGCATATGATAGGGAAATTAACCGATATTTAAATTCGTGGAGAATCAACGTTAATAGTTGTTTTACCCACAGTTTGTCTCATAGAATAGAGTTGATTTTGATCAAATTAAACTTTTAAAACCCTTCTCCGAATGTTTCTCACTATTTGCCATGAACTATTTCATCACGTATTGCACCTTAAAACTTTGAAACACCTTATTACCCGGCAGACACATTTCTAAGTTATATGCTGAAAAAAATGTGAACTCATCTCAAAATCTCGTGGACCTATTTTAAAATTTTATGACTTAAACAATAACCTATGCGTTTCCATTTATATACACCCCCAGCATAAGAATACATCTGCAGACTCTATAAACATATTTCAAACTTTTATTGTTCTTATAACAAAGCCGACAAACCTGGCCGTACTCCATTTACCATAGAGCATGGACTTGTTACATAGAATCTCCAACTACTTCTATCTCTAGCAATATAACGTGATTTGCCGGTTTCATTTGTTATTGATTGTTTGTTGATATCTTCTTGGTTTGTTCGTTGAAGTAGTTCCATATTAAAAATTCTTCGTGACCAACAAATTCTTGAAATTTTACGCAGGCATCTGGCAAATCTCAGAAATTATTTATTTCAAGATTACATAAATTCATGTTTGATATAGAACAAATAGGTAATAGAACGAAAAATTTTAGGAAGTATTCAAATTCGTAAAGGTGGAAATAAAGTTGAATTTATTGGAGTAGTTCATCCTTATAGTGATATAATTAAATTATTTACTGAGGAACAAACTTACCCAATCTATACACCCCAGAGATACATCTGAAGTACTATTAAACTCTCAATCCTATAACTTTATCTTTGAACTCCATAGACTCATATTAAATTCCACTTTATTTTATCAAAAACGACTAGTCTCAGGATTATATATGTATAAATAATCACTATTGTAAATAAATCATTAATATATATTCTATAAAAAAACATATGGTGTGTAAACTACAAGTTAATAAAATTTGATAAATGAACTTATAATGTACAGACACCTTGACCAACCACACACGATGTTTACGATGATTACATATTGGGTATCACAAAAAAAGTTCCGTGACATTATATACCTATTTTTTATCTGTGGATCGCTGTTAAAACAAAACATGTAATTTTTGAGGCGAGTGGTAATTAATGATGTCACACGGTTACGACTTACATAGAACGTACAATTATGAAGACACTCGTGTAAGATCTAGTTAAATGTGGCCAATACTAGATATAAAAAATCAAGGCACTTAATCAGCCTAACAACGGAAGATATTTCTAAAGTCATAACTTGTATAACAGGTCACTGGCTTTTTGGAAAGCATGCTCTTACTTTGAGGAATCCCTTCAAAGTATATTGCAAGAGCTGTGAACATGAAAACGAAGAAGAAACAGTGGAACAGTATTACTGCAGATGTCTGGCTCTAGTTAGAAGCAGGTTGAATTTCTTAAGCAAACATGTGTTTAGCTCTCTCACAAAAGTATGTAGTACTTGAACTCAGAACATCCTGCTTTATAAGACCCTCAAAATCCTTGTACAGTGAGTAGTACTATCACTGCTCAAGTAATACCACTGTAGGGTCTAAATAAGTTAGTCAACTAGACTGGAGTCTAACATTAACCAAACCTAACTTAGAATTATGTTATATGAAAATGATATTGACGGGACTCCAAGAACTGAAATTTGGATTTTGGAGAGATGTTAAGTGTGTGTTTATACTACACCTAACTGAACAATTAGTTCGAATTTTTGCTATCAGCAAATAATGGGCTTTAAAAAAAAAAATTTTAAAAAAAATTTAATAACAAAGAAAACTGTTGTCGTGTTTTCCAATCAATTTATTTTGAAATACCGAGATTAGAAAGATGTGATGCGTTCAAAATAGTACTATCATTCCAGTGAAATATATTGATAATTCCTAATCTTTAAGGTATTCCCTTTCTGATATGAAATTAACTTAAAAAGTAGACTGTGGAAGGCAACTGCATCAGTTTTTCTTCACAAAATTTTGGAATTCTGCAATAAAGAAATAATGGTTCTGATTTAAAAAGATGGAAAGTATCAATATTTGGATAATTCGATTTTTTTAAATGAAAGGGTTATTTTTCTTAGAGCTCAAATGTGCATATCTTACAATACTAAAATTTGAATATACCATATAATATATCAATCTTACTTTTCCACCGGAAAAATATAGCATCTTTTATTCCACTGACTTAATTTTATAGAAAGAAATACACTGTACATATTATTTTTATTTTTATAATGAAGTGATAAATTCTAATAATTGAGCAAAATATGTGTAGGGGTATTTATAGAACTTAATACACGTCACTGAAATCCGTAGTAATACTTCACAGTACTTTTTGTAATTTTTTACAATTGGCGTGGCCATGGAACTTTGTACCATTCTGCGTGGTATGTATCCCGATAATTGATATGCACGCAATTTGGGAAAAGTTTTTTGAATGGCAGTCACATCCGAAATTTCACCATTCAACAAAAAATATTTGCTCACAGCTGCGAAGGGTGCAGTTAGTTTAAGTGTGGAATTTTCCAAAAATTGCAAATAAAATTACAGAAATTTTGTTACTTCCAACGAAATTCATAAAATGTCAAAATATTTCGATTCCGCAGGATTTAAAAAAGTTTCAAGTGTTTTGTTGCACTTTTAGCGAAGTTATGTTGATTAATCCCTTCCTATTGTTAAGGTAATAGAAATCAGTAGATTTCTGAATACCCAGGTGACTCAATGCATTCGCAGGATGCACTGTAATTACTGATAGAGGTGCGTACATGTGCAGGAACTCATGCATGCAAAACACTAGAGTTGCACATTTTGGTGGTTGCACTTCCTGTTGCAGAACTGATGCCACTTCGTACTGAAATGCGTACGTGTTCCACGGCAATGCGATTCTCCTTTTCGGCATTTACCTAATCGGATTACTAATGCGAATGGCCTTTACAGAGTGGACAGCAAATTCTCCTTTTATTTTGTAAATGAAAAGTGTTAAGTCGAAGAAGTTAATTTGGAACTTCACACATTGAAGCCAATTATGCATATGCCTGGTTTGTGGGGTCATACTTCATTGAGGTTTTGAAATATTTACAGAAATTATTTGCTTATAAGCGTATATACGATATTTTTTTCAGAAAATGTTGCATGTCAAATTGAAAGAAATTAAGCACACTTTGAATAAACTTCCTATATTTCTGAAGTTTTTATACAAATGCAATGGGTAAGATGGGAGACAAAAATATTATAAAATAGATGTGTTCCCATATTTTTACCGGTAAACACAAAACACGAAATAAAATCCTTCAACTCGGTAACACCTTAAAACTAGTTTTACTCTACGTTTACACTTGCTAAACTTTACCAAGGTTTATCTGTTTATCTTTACGTTGCGCAAATCTAGCCAGTGTAGGTTTCATTGCAAGTTGACAGCAACCTTAAAAGTAGTGCTCTCGATTTTGATTTGAAAAATTGTTTTATAATTTATTTTAAGGCTCACCTAAGCATTGCAAGTAACTCTGATCAACCAATTAATCTCTGATGCTGAATTTTTCAAATTTGCTTGCCGCAAAATAATATAATGGGAGTGATACTCCCACAAAAATTTATGAAATGTGTTCTATATTAGTATCACATACACTATATTGTATATAATATAATATACGACAAGATAAGTAGGCTGTGTGCGAGTTCGAGTAAATTGAGGTAAAGTAAATTGAAATTTCCAAGAGATTTTTTGCACTGCACTTATGTAAATATTTATTCATTGCACTTATTTATTATTTTTGATTGAAAGTTTTCAAATTTATTTATTTATTTATTAAACATCTTATAAAATTTTTACAATAGTAACACCTAATTTACCTAATTTTTATCTAATTTACCCTACTCGAAATTCTGGTAAATAACGACATTTGCTACATTTGACACCGACATAATTTACTATTTCCCTCAATTTAACATCAATTTACTAAAACTCGCACACGGCCATAATATAACAGGAATACGATATTTTTTAAATAAAAGCATCTTTAATTTCTTTAAATTTTAAATAAATATTCGCGTTAACACATTTGCTTAAATTTTTATCTCTTAAATCAAGTATTCTGTTGATTTAGTTGTCACTTTAATGTAAGTATATCGACTGTGTAAATTTAATTAAAACAAAATTATTTACTTTCGTTTACTATTTTCTATATATGTTACAAAAAAACCAGTGATCTTACAAATCGGAGTAAATTATAAAAAGCAACTACCTGAGCTGAAGCAGTTTGTTACAAAAAACCAGTGATCTTACAAATCAGAGTAAATTATAAAAAGCAACCACCTGAGCTGAAGCAGTTTAATCAGCTCCAGTTCTAATTATATTTAACCAACTTTGTGTTTTTTTTTGTATATCGTTTACAGTTTGATGTTCTACGCGACATAAATTTAAACAGAATAAAAAGCATTTGGAAATTTTTGTGAGTACCCTCAATACCAGAGAATATCTTTTCCTTAATACCCTCAATCTGTCATATAAATACTTCAAAGAATTTTCTTTTGACATCAAATTGTATAAAAACTACTTGGCATCAAAAGGAACGTAATATGTACCTATTTTTCTCCTAATAAATAATTTAAATTTTATCAACACCTTCGTTATTCTATTCATTCTATATTTAATTGTTTAATTCGTTTTATTACTCTTTTGTAATATTTTCACAATGATAGAATAATTAAAACTGAATCCATGAATTATAGCATTAAATCAACATTTTTTAAAAATTAAACAATCATTTCATTTAATGCAAGACAAAAAATAATTAAATAAATTAAATATATATTTGTGTCAGTTTTTACAACGGTTCGTTATTAAGGCGCCACCTGGTTTTCGTTTTTCATATTAACTTACATCTGAAATAGAAATTGTTATTTTACATGTAAAAACAAAAAATTAAAATAGTAATGTTTAATGACAATTAAGTTGTCAAAAATATTTATGAGTTAATATATTTTTCTTTCTATATATTAACAATTAAATATTTTAGTTCATAAAGCAAAATAAAATTTATTCTATTCTTTGACCAACTTTCATAATTTCACAGCGAAATATGCTAACAAAATCCACTCACTAGAAACGTCAAAGTGAACGAACTGTCACGCACATTACATTTCGTCGGCTGTTTCTGCAAGTAAGCGTCGTACTTAACAAAGAATTTGCACTAAATTTGTTAATTCAGTACGTATTGCAATTATATATATTAAAATCTGTTCAAATAAATTTTTGTTTTAAATAAATAGATATCGTTTAATTCACTTGTTAACACAAACAAACAAAATGGAAGTTGATGATGAAGAAGTTCCCTCATCTAGCAGTAAAGGCGAGAAAAAAAGATTCGAGGTGAAAAAAGTGAGTAAAACATTTTATAATAATATAAATTGTTTTACATTATTAATTATATGTTTCTTTATAGTGGAATGCGGTTGCTTTGTGGGCCTGGGGTAAGTTACTTTTAAAATGTTAAATATAAAAAATATTTAACGCATAACCTGAAATATATAATTTTTGTATATACGTTTTCGTGGCGTGTGTTTATATTTATGTTTATTATTACAGACATTGTCGTAGATAATTGTGCCATCTGCCGTAATCACATAATGGACTTGTGCATCGAATGCCAGGCTAACCAGGCATCTGCAACCAGCGAGGAGTGTACCGTAGCATGGGGTGTCTGCAATCACGCGTTTCATTTTCATTGCATATCGCGTTGGTTGAAAACTCGTCAGGTTTGTCCACTTGATAACAGAGAGTGGGACTTCCAGAAATATGGCCACTAAACTTTTATTCCGCATTACAAGCACCTCAAAATAATAAAAAAATAAAAAAAAAACATCTATAATCTTAAATATTTTCATACGGTAATCTATTTTGCTTGTTTTGTTAAGCATACTACAAAATACATAATTAGTTTGAAGTTATATTAAGTAAAACCTTTGAAATAATTAAATTTAGAATACATAATGTGAAGACTTAACTCAATACTTTCGTTATATTTAAAACAAAATATATAAGTTCAAATGGAACGCAACTAACTCATTTGTTTTAATAGCTTCAACAGAGAAATGAGTAAGTAAACTAGTTAATGTTTAGAGTAAAATTCTCAATTAAATTATATTGATAATATTAATGGCTTGTATTTTACAGCATTAATAAAATTGATTGTAAATTTAAATGGAACATTCAAGAATAATTTTGACATGTGAGTACGGAAAAAATTAATGCTTAATTAACGTAGACTTAAAGAAATATATCAACATTCCTTCATTAGTTACAATCAAAATAATTCTACAATAATTTTAACAACGAAGAAACATTACTTAACAAAAATATTTTATTTTGTTATAAGAAGAGTTGCGAATTTATGCTGAAATACATACTGAAGAAGATGCACATCATTGACAAAAGAACATGTAAAACAATTTCAAATTTGGTATACAATAACGCAAAATATCATTACCTAGAATGTTGTTGGCAAGGATACATAATTTCGGAAAAGTGGCATTTGTTTGAAGTTACAATGTATATGCGAATTCCAAGAAAATAATGCAACGACGTGGTATTTATTTTGTGTGACAAAATGTCGATGTATTCGATAGGATGGAAGCTTGCATTGTGCATCAATTCTCATTCTTGTTTTTTTCAAAAAGTATTTCTTAGCAATCAATATTATACATATTTATTACTCATAATGTTAACTAACAATTACATTCACTTATATCATTTTTATTTTTATTTTAAAAATTATCGAAAAACGTCCTTTTAATAAAATGTTTTGTAAGAACAGTATACAGTATGGTTTCTTTATTATTTTATGTCTTAGACTAGACTAATAACTAAACCCATTATTGCTGAAATACTATTACAGAGCCAAAAAGTTAATAGCATGTGGACTGAGCCATCACATACCAAAAGCTTATGTATGTTGAAGGTTTTAAAATTAAATTTAAGACTTAGATTTAAAATAGTATAATATGACAAGGAATATTCCTTGAGTAGGTAATTATAGTCATGAAATCGATACGCGGAATAACAAAATTTTATTTTTCGTGTGATATTGTAGAGAGCACCCTCGATCGTGTTATGCATATTACTACGCTTATATACATATAATTAATTTCTATTTTCTGATTTATTTTAACCAAAAAAAATAACAATGAGGTTCAAACATCAACAGAAAAAGTCTGCTTCTTAATATATTAATTTAAAAACATCTAATTCACAGGCATCTACAATTTAATAGCCTGTAGGGAAACTTCTTTTAGGCGTCTTTGCATGGACTCAATCAGCTATACAGTATCCTGTGTGTTTATTTTTTGCCATTCTTCTTAAATGGGATAAAGTTCTTTCAAGTAAGCATGCAAAAATAGAATTTAGATGAATTGTATGCCCAGACCGGCTTTGTCCGAAAGAAGTATTTTTATTTTATATTGAATGAACTGATTTACCATGTAAATATTGAATAAACTAAAATCCATAATTTCTCAAATAAAATTAAATTTATCTATAATCATCTATGATCATTTTCTCCAAATCTAATGAAGTCTATTTTCTATATTTTTTAATAACATTTTCAACTAATTCCTAACCGAGTTTCCTATAATTTTCTGCTAAATAAATATATAGACTCAAATGTAGCTTACATTTTCATTAGCACATGAAGAAGTGAGAAATATTATTGGACGTAACCCAAATTGGCATTTCATAAATACTTGAAAAATTTACAGAAATGTATTAACATCTCAAGTACATCTCTTGGGCCATTAAAATAAGAAGTAGCGATATAAACCAAAAGGATTTTAATATTTGAAGAAGAAAAGGCTCTCATGAGGTTCTTCACATAACTTAATCTCAAAGTGAATATATCACATCAGTAGATGCAAGTCGATATATGTTTAGAGACAAATATTTTCACATACCCGATATATTTCATATTATGTAGAAAATCTAATAAAGAAATTAATTTTTCTTAGCCATAAGAGACTACTATATTATTCTCAAGAAGTTCAGTCTAATAATAATGCCACTGGTCTGGTAGTTGCAGACATATGGAAAATAGATGTACAAAAATAAATATATATTGATTTTAATTTCATTAAAATAATACAATACATCTTCTTGGCGATATAAGAGAATATAATGTCTGATTTTAAAAGTTGTGCAGCTAGAACTATATTTTTTCCCTTAAGATAGGTAAATCTAATTAATTTTTGAATACATTTACTTTATAACATAGTAGAAGACTCTAAGCCATTATGATTGATACTAAAGCTATTATGATATTGTAAGATGAAACATAAAATCAGGATATTGTTGTAACGTTCAGTTCTTTCTGTAACCTATTGTATAGAGTCTTAAGTGTTCCATAGCAATTTTGTCAGATTTATTCATATTTTTTATTATGTTGAGGCTAGTTGAGTCAGGGTACTTGAGCACTTTTAATCTCTATTAGCTGCGAGATTTCTTTATAACCTCTCTTTACACCTTGACTGGATTATTGTTTATCACTTCATTGGACTAAACAATAACTGACCTAAGATTTGCATACCTCCCTGAGAACCCTGTAACCATCCTGAAATTCGACAACGCGGTGTTGGTAAGCCTGTTGGTTTTCGTGAATAATTTCACTGCTCTATCCTTTATAAATTTTTTGATCTGATCAATCTTAAGGTCCCTCAGGATGTCATTCGTCCTAATGTACTATGGCACCTTGAAAAATCTTCTCAGATTCTGGCTTTATGCAATTTCTAGCTGGCAAATATTAGTGTTTGAGGCCTTGGTGAATATCCATACTCTTTCATATCTATTAATGTTTTTTTTTTTTTAAGTTATCGAGAATTTATATTTATTTATATTCTATTTAATGAATATGCCATCTGTTATATAGAACAGTCAATGGCAGAATTTTGTCATTTCCTTAAATTGAACATTCGTCAAATTGGATATAACTCCTAACATACTTGGGGAATGTCTTTAAATCTATCAAATTTGTACTTCAAAAAACAAATGTATATATAAGTATTTATATGTATAAGTTTTTATATATAAAAGTATTTATATATATATACGGTATATGTATATATATTTATACAGTAGGTTTTTTCAGGTTGTAAAGTTATATATAGCGGATAACGAACTATGACTTAAATTATTATTAGCAAAAAAAATAAAATGTAAATCTCAGAATATATAATTGAATAATGGTCTTTAACCAAGAGGAGTTGCTACGTTAAAAAAAAATGCATTTTTAATAATAATACATAATTAATAATATTAATACTAATCTGTATTTTATTGTACTATTGTTAATACGAATTTTGAGTTGGTAACCGGAACACCCTTATTCAACTGTGCCCACTGAGTCAATCTGAGTAGAATGACAAGACAGCGGTAAGTTTTTAGTTTTCAATTGTGAGAATCTTCGTCTATCTGGCAGTAGTGGTGAAGTTTGCCTTGACCTGAGACAGGATAGTGTTTGGTTGCAAGTCGTGCCTTTTCGCAAACGTAACTTCTCAATTCAAAAATGAGTATGGAAGTCCATCGACCCAAAATATGGCGTTTTTACAATTCTTTTTAACGTATGCAATAGTTATGACGAAAGACGTTAAAGAATAATTTTAGGAACTTTGATATAAGCAACACAGTTGTAGAACTAAACTTTTTTTGAAGTCAAGCTTACAATTGTTTATAAGTAGGCAGAGGGAAGTGCTGAGGTATAGCCCTACCTTGCTTGATGTGCGTGTGATTTTTTCAGATGATATTTTTATTGATAATGAGAACTAATCTATTAATAATAAATTATTATTATTACTAAATTATTATTACTAAATTATTATTATTACTAAATTATTATTACTAAATTATTATTATTACTAAATTGTTATTACTAAATTATTATTATTACTAAATTATTATTACTAAATTATTATTATTACTAAATTATTATTATTACTAAATTATTATTATTACTAAATTATTATTATTAATCTCTTATTAAGTAGATTATTATTCTTAATCTATTATAAATAGATTATTATTTTTAATCCATTATAAAGAGATTATTATAAATCTATTATAAATAGATTATAATTATTAATCCATTATTAATCTATTATTAATAGATTACTATTATTAATAAATTATTTTTATTAATAATATATTATTAATACATAATTATTGTTAATATGTTATTAATTCAATATTCTCATTAATATATATTATTAGTACATTATTACTCTTAATATATTATTACAAATTATTAATACAATATATTAGTATTAATATACTAATGTGTAATAATATTAATGTATTATTAATACAATTTTATTAATATATTATTAATACATTATTATTATTAATTTTTTTTAATATATTATTAATACATTATTATTAATATATTATTAATACATTACTATTAATACATTATTATTAGTAAAATCTTGTTAATGTTATTTAATAATTTTTAAAAAACTTTATTATTATGTTGAAGCTGTTTTGAGCTACTGCACTTATATTTTTTTTAACTTGAGATTTCTTCAAAACCCCTCTCTACACCTTGACTAGATTATTTTTTATCACTTCATCAGACTAAGCAATAATTGACCTCAGATCTGCATACCTCCCCGAGGAGCCTGTAACCATTTTGAGATTTGATAACGCGGTGTTGGTAAGTCTGTCAGTTTTCGCAAATAATTTAAGGGCTTAATCATTATATCAACACATGATTAATATAATAATTTTAACACATTATTAATATTTTTCAATAATATTGAATATTATGCTCATTTTAATTGAATATTATTTCTTGTACTTATTTTTAATGATATCAGGCTGTTATTATTACAAAAGGAAACTCCTATACAAAAGAAGCAATAATTACAATTATTTTACCTATAAAAGAATGACCCCAAAATACACGTGACTTAATCAAACTTGATACTAGTGGCCTACAAAAGAACGGGATGTCCACATAACTCACGGAGGACACTCATTAAAGATAGGACTTTATGGAAGAAGCGACTGAGTTCATATTAAG